ACATATCAGATACTGTAATATTTTTAGAGAACACTTTAACTTTTACCAAAGTATTTTTATAAGATACTTGTACTTTTACTCAAGTATCACTTTGAGGTACTTTATACAGCACTGACATTAATGGAAAGACTAGATTCTAGTATGGAGAAGCTGGTGTTAGTAATGGAGAGGCTATCATCTAGCATTCCAGGGGCCATTACTGGTGCCGGCCAATCATTATTCAGATCAATAGCTAGCTTAGGAGTAGATATAGCCTCCTGCTAAAATGATGCAGCAACCACTGGTTGCACAATCGTCTTATTTTTGGCCCTTAAACTGCACCATATGTACTTAGTTCCATAAGGGGGCAGCCGCTAGTCTAGTGGTTCTCAATTCCGGTCCTCATGACCCATTAACCTGCATGTTTTAGTTATTTCCTTGCTTTGGCACACCTGATTTAAATTAATGAGTGATTGACAAGCTTCTGCGGAACTTATAGACCAGCAGAAGAGATGGGAATTTTGGGAAAAACAACTAAAACATGCCGGATAGCGAGCCGTGAGGACCGGAATTGAAAACCACTGCGGCTAGRCCAGGGGTGCTCAAACATTTTCCCTGAGAGGGCCAAAATTAAAATCAATCTGAGGGTGGTGGGCCAAATGCAATAATATAATACACGAAATGCAAATATTTCAAGTAAAGTTGTATATTTTATGATTAAGCTAGCAGCCAGTGTGGTTGCCCACATTTTCTTGTTTGTTTTTTCAGCCCACSRACATGGAGAAAATTCAACGTTTGCTCGGGCAGAAAAGGCTCATGGGACTTTTCATAATTTAAAATTTGAGTATAAGTGGTCTTATAAGATGTGCAAATCTAGATATGGACTTAAATCTCATAAATTTCTCTTGAAGTTACTTGTATTTTAAGTTTAATCTTTACAAAATTCAAAGATAAAGTGAGCACCATTAAGTTAAGACTATCTGACTACAGCTCCTTGTGCCTATAGTTGGACAAATGTTTGAAAAAACTAGGTGCAAATATAGTATTTCTACATAAGACAGACAATTACAACCTAGTAACCAGGACAACTGCTGGTGGACCAAATCAAATGACTTGGCGGGCCAAATTTGGCCCGCGGGCCCCACTTTGGGCACCTCTGGGCTAGCCCAAGCACATTTTTTAGCGTTTGTTTTTATTAATTAAAYTGTAAAAATGTAACCAAAGTACAGATCTTTCTAAAACATAAACAAGAAAAAATACAAACAGTAGTGTAACGTGTAAATTATATAACTGGGCGTAATGCCACTCTAGTTTACAGTAACATGATGGATGGTAATCTCAGCCTTTACTGTAGATCAGAGGGAAAAATACTTCCTGAGATGTATTACTGTCCTTGACTAATATGGACAAGTGTGGAGATTCTCATGAATAAATAAGAAGAGTATTGGATGAGAAATGCTTCTACACAAGGTTAGCTTCTAAATGAGGACAAACATTTGTCACTGCTGCTTTTCCAAGGGTCAAGACAACAAAGCAGCCCCCTCATCTCCAAACCTCCTGCTTGTCCATTTTACTGCATGACCTACTGTACTGTAGATTAATGGTTGCATCATCTAGTCATGCACCAGTCAGTCAGGAGATTTAATAGATAATTTTAAATGTTCCAGTGCAAAGGTTTCAAGACGTTAACTTGCACACTTAGCTTATGAAGAGTTCAAACTATGAGCTGCGGGCTGAAAGACAGACAAACGGGGGTCGATTATTAAGTCRTTAATCTTTGGGATTTATTGGATCAAGAGTGACAGAGACACCTGCAGTCAATCAATCTCTATGTAATCTTCCAAAGCAAACCTTGTGRAGCATCAGTCATTACAACCTCCCTCCATACGTCTCCACCTACACGCGCACAAACCGAGCACGCCTCTTCCCCCCGTCCTGTCCCAGTGAAATGCTGCTCACTTTATTGTCAGTCTTTTGACATTGTTCTCAAAAAATAAGTATTTGATGCAGACATACTCACATACCGATCACAAAAAAAAGTAAAAAAAGAAGTAATGATTTCAAACCCCAACATTCATGTTTCAACTTATTTTAACAAAACAATCCATAACCCTCACGTCACATAATGGGCTGCCTGTTCTTAAAGGTATCCTGGTCTTTTGCAGCCCCATGGATTCCCCGCAGAGTTCTTTTCTCCCTCCCTGTGACCCAGACCTGCCTCAGTAGATCAATGGAACAGCGTGAGGTGAGGTTTTTAATTGAGCTGTCCTGAAGGGCATGGGATGTTTTAATGAGCCCCGGTCCTGTTTTCATCCTGACCTTTGAGGTTCTTCTCCACAGGTGTCAATCCTCGAACTTAAAAAGAACATATGGGCTTGTAGGGCGACTCCAGAGGCTTTTACCTCACTGAGCTTCTGACATTTTCAGCTAAATCTAACACATCCAGTAGGTGTATTTTAATGTTGTTAGCCAATTCCATGTACTTATTATCAGTGTTAAGAAGAACAGGATGTWATATCGCTACAAAAAAATGTGAGCAGAGAAAACCCACAAGTGCAAGAGGAGAACATGCAAACTCTGCAAAAACGTGCAACCTGTCCCTGCATCTTAACTGGTAGAAATGGGGATCAGACCCACCTTTTAAAGCAACATTAACCAAGTGAAGCTAAATTTCTTTCTTTATTTTTGTAACTACCGTACTGTTGCACCTTTATTGTATTTTTAGTTTTTTTTTCTAGCTTGGGTTTGTGAGTTGTACATTAGTTATAACGAAATATAACAAAAACATCAACCATTTAGATTATTAATGGTCAGCCACAACCATTAAATTTAATTTATACATTTTTCGTTATGGATTGTGTCCCATCTGCAACAACACAGACAACAAAGAAGAAGAACTCATCCTGACAGAAATTAATTTAAAAGTTAGGCAGGATGTCAAAACCTGGAAACTTTCCCTGTGCAACTTAAAGGCCAACTATCATTTTTAACACGAAACCATGATGCAAGCTTATTCTTCACTGTGGGGAATCACAACTTGCAAAGAAACAACTCAATTCTAGAGAAGGGGATGACAACTGTGATGTTATTGTTAGAGTGAGGTCTACACCTTGCATGAGATAACAAAACCAGCTCCTGTGTTGATTCGGGCAACTTGAGGCTGCAGCAGCTGGTGTGAAACGATAACCAATACGCTCCAGAACATCCGTGTTGAAACCAAACGACTGGCTCAATGAAGCGTTAAAAGGTGAAATGTGACGGGCTCGTTGAAAGAGTGCGTTACCTCAGGTGAAAGCTGCTGTCACAAAACAGTACCTGCATCATCTGGGTGCAGCTGACATGACTCTGTRGGAAACTAAAAATAGAACTTGATGTGATCTCTATACGGTCTCAGTTTAAAGCAGGATTTTCATTTGAAAGCTCTTGTTTAAAAGAAAAACACTATYTGAAGCCCAGGATTTACATCAGTAACAGTGAACAATGCAGATTACATACAAATGTGTTCTGAGCCCAAGTGGAAAGCTGCTACTATAGATTTTTACTATAGCATTATAAAATATTCATTACATAATTTATATTCATTACAACTTTTTCCTCTATTGTTTTATTATTCTAATGTGAAAAAAATATTTTCAAGGTAACAAACAAAATTAAAAATCACAGCTTTTCTGTGTTCATCTGTAAAGACTGAATAATAAAATCAACAACATGACTAATATATTTCACTTAAAGTGATTAAAATTGCATTTTAGAGACAGGGTTATTGTAACAGCTGGTATGACAGGTTGAGCATTTACAAATTTATGTGAAAAAGGCCTGTTTTTTATTTTCTGAAAATGCCAGGACCGTGTCTGTATTCAGACGTTGGCTTTGATGACATTTCTCACATTATGTGTAAGTGACCCGGTGCCGTAGGTTGCTGTGGCTAAAGCAAAGCAGTGATTACTGAGCGAACCACAAAATACACGACATCCTGGAGAATCTGACCTGACAAGGGAGGAAAAAAACACTAACGGCGAAGATCTGACAGAGTTTAATGATAATGAAGTTGTTTTTTTTCCTTCTACTTTTCCATCTCCKGTCTAATAATTTCCTCCCAATGACCAACTCGCAACCATTTTTAGTCACTCTAGATTTTGTTGCCTTGAATTCAAGCTGGTTTTGCCAACTACACGAAGAGACAAAACTGTTGACTTTATTGTACAAAGAGGGTAATATGTACGGTGCTGTAAGAGAAGTAGAATATGCTTTTCAGGATTTTGTAAAATGCTAAAACTTTTGGGGATGGATGGATGGATGGATGGATGGATGGATGGATGGATGGATGGATGGATGGATGGATGGATGGATGGATGGATGGATGGATGG